CCAACGAATAGTGGGATTGACCGTCACATCATAACGCCCCTACGGCTGAAAGTACGAGCATGTTTGGTGTGACGGAGATTCGAACCCGCGACCCTCAGATTGCGAGTCGATCGCCCTAACCACCTGGCCATACCGGGCCTTTTTAAAAAAGTACTATATTTCATTTGTTAATAAATTGCCTTTAGAGTATGTTACAGTTTTGTTTTTCTTCCTGAGTATTTTTCATTAAATTCATTGAAAAGTTTCGACTGTAGAGTGGCCAGTATCGTTACCTATCATACAGTTTTTTTTCTTGCTCTTATTATTTCTTTTCATTAAGCGACAGGCTTCAATTCATTATTAATTTAAACAATAAGTTTAGTTTCTGAGTGCAAGTACTAAAAAAGTAAAACTGGAAAAGAGTCTTGGCTAGAAAAGAGAATATGCTCAATCGGGTGGCTGAAAATTTGGTTAAAATCCATAATATATAGTTCGTAAATGAAAAAAGATGTTACTCTCAAAGGCTTGTACTTCAAAGAACATGTTTCAGAAGTACACATTCATATATACATATAACATATATTTTTATTTGTACTTTTCTGCAGTTCTTAGATGTATTGTAAAATTGCAGATTACATTGTCCTACTGTCCTATTTGCCAGATTATCTGTGACTACAGCATAGGTGAGAATTCAAGGTAATTTTCAAAACCTGTTGCTAGAGTTTAGTGTAAATAGTTACATTTATAAGCTGTCTTATCTTGATCTTTCTTGAGAAGAGGCAAATCAGAACATTTTATTTAAACTGGATCAATGTCTATAGTTTCAAGAAATGCATAATCATAATTCATATATGTCTATTAATATGAAGTAGATTTTCAGTGGGTGATTGAAAAACTTGCTCTTTTTATAATAGTAAAAAAAAAAACCTTTTTGGAAATATGTATATTTGTAAGTGAAAATTCACACGTTGGCTGTTGACATTTTCTGTTCAGAGCATATCGAAAAAATCCTAAATTTTAAAGTAAAATTACAGAAAATTGAAAAACAAAAAGTTAGGAAATATTTTACGCAATAATAACCTACTTTAGAAATATATATAAACATATATATTTTGTTGACCTTTCCCAGATAAGTGAGTTATAACGATTCGTCAAAAAACATTTAGCACTATAAATTAGTAAAGTTATTTTCATATGCAGCTAATACATATGCTAATTTTTTTTCACATAAGGTAACAATAAAATAGTTTGTAATCTTGAATTTTAAGTTGTGATGAAATATTTATTAGCTAATTATTGCCCCCCCCCCAGTGGCACAGCGGTATGTCTGCGGAC